CCACAGAGCCCTGGGCTAAGTCATGGCCAGGAAGTAGGAGAATTTTGTGTTTTAGAATCTGACAGATTGAAGAATGGAACGGAAGATAAAGTGGACGTAGATGAGTTTTGGAATGATCCTATGATTCCCCAGTACAGAAAGCCTTTGCCTTTATATCAGTCAGCCTCAAACCCAAGTGCATCAAAAAATGAAACATGTCAGCCAAAGACTTCTGGTTCTTTTCCAATTAATGGGCACCATTCTCCCTCACAAGTTTTACCTGCAAGACCAGAGTCCATTGAGAATTCACCCACCATCAATGAACACAAAGCCAAACCATCAGAATTTTCAAGGCTTGAATCAGAATTGTCCAAAAGCCCTGCTGGTAAGAGAGTTGTTCATTCCAGGCCATAAAAATCAACCCAGTGAGTTTGGAATGACCAAGGCCAGCCCTGTAGAAGCCCCATTTTGTCTCTTTGACATTCCAGCTATAATTCAGGCAGGTGCCACTGGGGAATGATTATACCACCTCCTAATGGGTTTGGACGTAGTAGAATCATCACCAGTAACTGAAGGGATAACTCAAACTAAAACCAGAGGCGCCTGGGTGACTCAGTCGGTTAAGCATTCGACTTCAGCTCAGGTCATGGTCTCACAGTGAGTTCAAGCCCCACATCGTGCTTTCTGCTATCAGCATGGAACCCTCTTTGGATCCTCTGTCTTTCTCTGTCCCTGCCCCTCCCCTGGTTGTACTCTCTCTCTCAAAAATAAACAAACATTAAAAAAAATACAGGATAGCACACTTTCTGGCTCATTATGCTTTTCCCTAAAAATTGTTAGCTATCAATTATTTAAACAAATTATAATGTTTTGAGTCAAGTTGTATATATGGAGTAAGAATTAAATATATGCTAATACCTTTGTACAGGATATATTATTCACCTAAGGCATATTTATCAATTACCATTTAATCAGACTTTGGTTTTGTTTGTTTGTTTGTTTGTTTTTTGAGAGAGAGAGCCAGGAAAGAGCAGAGAGAGAGAGAGAAACTTAACCAGGTTCCACACTCAGTACAGACCTTGATGTGGGGCTCAGTCTGACAACCCTGGGATCATGACCTGAGTTGAAATCATGAGTCAGATGCTTAACTGACTGAGCCACCCAGGTGCCCCTGACTTTATTTTCAATCTCAGAGGAAGCTTCACTTTGTTAGCTCTGAAGGATGGCAAATTGTAGTTCTAGGACTTTCTATGAAAAAAGCCTCAGAGCCTTGGCTTATCTGAGGCCTCCGGCCATGTGTTCTTAGATGTTAAAAGCGCTGTAGGAACATTCTCCTTCAGCTGCTGTTAGCAGAGAGGCAAAGGGAATACTGTTTTTTCCTGCTGTCTAGATAACTAGCCCTCTCTTGAAGATCTTACACCTCTCAAGAGATGAGCCACCGTTTTCCCATACCCATGTGATTACTTCAGAATTCTTATGTTTGAAAAAACAGGAACAATGGAAAAAATCATGCTGTTTACTCTCTCCCATCTTCAGTAAGTCTTCATCCAGCCCTATGATAATGTCTTTGTAGTCCAGAAAATTTACAATAGCAGCAGCCACGTGTCTGATGCACTTGCTCTCCTTCCTTATTAGTCAGTACTAAGTTAACCCTGAGTCACTTTTGCTTAGCCCTGTAGTTTTATACTTGTTCAGATCAATCTACTTCTTAAAGAGCAAAGCACTTTCAGTCACCCCCCTGCACCCCAGACATTTTGATTATTTGAACACAAAGGAATATTTTTTAATTAAAAATTAGCAGATGCTTCTTCAATAAAAACACCTCATGTTAAAGAAAATTACTAAAGTTTCATAAACATGGGCAAATAATTGGATGGTGTTTACTTAAATATTTATTCAAAAGTTGAAAAAATTCTTTAATAATATTTTCCTTTATTATAATCTACGGAAAAAATTGGTAAACCTTTCCTGTTTTTCAAACTGCACCTGTTTTCCCACAAACTATAATTATGTATTAACTATTTGTACTTTCTGATTTTTAAATGCCAGCTGACTATGAAATTTGGAAGGAAGCCATCATCAGTTACACCTGTTTTGATTGACAGGCCTCCTGACCTTATAGCTTATATACAAAGTTCTACTTGCTTATTAATGCCTTGCTTATCACAAAAATATATACTAGTAAATAATGAAGCATAAAACGAAAACAAGCTCCCAAAAATGGTAAATGCAAAGTATGTGAATTAAAAGGGTTTAACTTTAGCTCTGAGCTTCAGGACAGTCAATATCACCTTCATACTACACTGGTAAATACAAAAGAACTCCTTAGAGGAAATTAAACATTACCTGGCATCAAACCTTTAAAATAACTGTTCTTATTTTAAAAGTGATAAACTTTTGGGGCAACTGAGTGGCTCTGTTGCTTAAGTGTCTGACTTCGGCTCAGGTCATTATCGCACAGTTCGTGTGTTTGAGCCCTGTGTCAGGCTCTGCACTGACAGCTCAGAACCTGCAGACTGCTTCAGATTCTGTGTCTCTGTCTCTGCTTCTCCACTTCTCATGCTCTGTCTCACCCTCTCTCCCTCAAAAATATATAAACATTTAAAAAATTTTTAATAGGGGCGCCTGGGCGGCTTAGTCGGTTGAGCGTTCGACTTTCGCTTAGGTCATGATCTCGCGGTTCGTGGGTTCGAGCCCTGCGTCGGGCTCTGTGCTGACTGCCAGCTCAGAGCCTGGAGCCTGTTTCAGAGTCTGTGACTCCCTCTCTCTCTGACCCTCCCCTGCTCACGCTGTCTCTCTCTCTCTCTCTCTCTCCTAGAAATTAAAAAAAAAAATTTAATAAAAAATAAAAGTAACATACTTTTATTGTAAAACATTTGAAAAGAAGTGCACACAGAATGAAACAAATAGTATCTGCGATATCATCACCCAGCATTAACCACAAGTATTGCTAACATTTAATTGTAGAGTCTTTCAATAATTTTCAAGCATGAATATAATTTTAAATTATGTTTATACTGCCAGACCTCTTTTTTTACTAATAGTATATTATAAGCATTTTTTCATCATTAAACAGTCTTCTGTTAATCTAAAACAGAATTCTTAAAGCTTTCTCAAAAGAACTTCACAATTATTGACATATATTCAATAATGCAATAGGTAGTTATGGAAACTAATATCAACCATGTGCCAATTATTGCATAACACTTTGTTGTTTTCACACTTAGAGTTGATGATTAAAATTAAAGATAGAATTTTGTTAATTGATATGTCCTCTAGTCCATTTGAAATGTAGCTGATTTTATAAAAATTCTGCTGATGTAATTTTCAGGGACATGTATTACATAGCTTAGCATTTGTAAAGAAGAGGGAGAAATGCTGAAACACTGGAGTCTTTTTTTTAAATGTTTATTTATTTATTTTGAGAGAGAGAGAGAGAGAGAGAGAGAGCCAGCATGCACGTGCATGAGCAAGGGAGAGGCAGAGAGAATGAGAGAGAGAGAATCCCAAGCAGGCTCCGTGCTATCAGAGCAGAGCCAGAGGCAGAGTTCCACAGCAGGCTTGGTCCCACAAACCATGAAATCATGATCTGAGCTGAGATCAAGAGTCATATGCTTAACCACCTGAGCTACCCAGGTGCTCCTGAAACACCCAAATCTTAACTAAAGGGGAGAAATGCCTGAGCTCCCTTATCTAAGTGTACCATGTGCCCAATGATTAAGGCTCAGACAGGATTCTCTCTGCTTTCTGGATAGCTTGGAATATCCTTCTCTAGCCTCCTAGCCATTGGTCAGCCCACATCAGGGAACAGCTAGAGATCACATTCTCCCTTAGTCTTCAGTTTAATTTATTTGGCTCATAGAAACTACTTCTAAACTCACAAACTGTATAAGGGAAATAGGAGATAACAGAGGAGCCTCTTGAGATCATGGTCTTCAAACTTCAGGATGGAGAACAATCACTGGGATAGCTGTTAGTAAAGATTCTTGGGCCCCTCTTCAGAGATTCTGCTTTAATGCATCAGGAGTAAGGCTCAGGAATGCAAATATCTTCATTGTACTATTCTGATATTCTGGAGGAAGCTCCAGAAAGTCATTTTCCTAACTCCTGATATCTTCTGGTCTGTGTTCCTCAAACTTGGGTATAAGCCCCCTCTAACATTTATGAGTATGCCAGTGGATGGGTGGAGTCATAAAATCAACATGTTGTATCTTCTTAGAGTGTCAGTTTTATACACAGATCTGAGGATGGAAGAAAATTAATATTTAAGATGTAACATAAGGGCACCTACGTGGCTCAGTTTGTTAAGCGTCCAACTTCTGCTCAGGTCATGATCTCACAGTTAGTGGACTCAAGCCCTGCATCTGGCTTTGTGCTTACAGCTTGGAGCCTGGAGCCTGCTTTGAGTTCTGTATCTCCCTCTGTCTCTGCCCTTCCCCTGTTCATACTCTGTCTCTGTCTGTCTCTCAAAAATAAACAAACATTGAAAAACAATTTAATGTAACATAAATCAGAATACTAAATTCACATGAATTTTTATTTCATTTTAATTTAGCTCTACCCCCCTCATGGGGCTTAAACTAATGACCCTCCAAGATCAAAAGTCACATGCTCTACCGACCAAGTCAGCCAAGTGCCCCCATATGAATTTTCAGCATAAATCAGAGACTTCAGAGGAATTTCTCAATTGTGTATATATCCCATATTTCAGAGGTCTACATTTACCTTCCTTTACTGTCATAGAGAAACTCTGATAGAATATCTTAATTGGGAGAGTTTATAATACAGCCCCTGAAAAGTGCAGATATAAACAGCTAATGGTATGGAAAGTGTAAATACAGAGTGCCTCTTTAAAACATAACGTGAGTGATTGCATAATAATTCTTTAAGCATTCTCTTTTCTTATTTAGAAAAGCATTTCTGTGTTGCAGATGGACTGTCTTGTGTTGAGCCTGAGCCATCTCAGGTGCCAGGTCACAGTTCTAGAGACCATCAGCAAGGTAAGCCCCCTCTTCTGAAAACCCTAAAAGCTAGGACATCCTCACAGTCTGATCCATTTGCCACTGAGATAAGGAAGACAACTGATGATTCCATATCTAAAGTCCTAGACTGGTTCAATCGAAGTTCTCATTCAGAAGACAATAAGTCATCTCTCCAACATCCCCAAGGAGTAGAGCCCAAAGAAGAAACAGACTCAGAATCACAGATTGCTACTACCTTGGTGACAGATGACACCAGTGTAAAACAAAATGGCTCAAAGCCTCTATTATCTGCCAAAGTTAAACTGACACCTATGGAATCTGTTTTGACATTCCAGGGAAAGGGAAATATGCTACCTTCTGGAAATTGCCAAAATAATAATGTGAATATCAAACACAAATCTATTAATTTTCCCCAAAAAGGCAAGGAAGGTCTAGGCATATTGCAATCATGTGAAGTCTACGATCCAAATCAGGGGAGTAAAACTATGGACTATAGACAAGGTTCAAAACACATAGGAGAAGGAAATCAGGTACTTCCCCCAACCAATAACTATTCCTACAGTGCTCTCACAGGACTTGATGCAGAAGACCAAGTTCCATGCAACATTGAGGATGTTGGCACCTTAGGTGAAGAAGAGCCTAAGCTTCATGTTTATGAGAAAAATAGAGGAAACTCAGAAGTGAATTTTGACTCTTCAACACTTGTCAAAGAACCAAATTTGAAGTACAACATGAAGACAGAGAAAAAGAGTAAAGAAGAAGATACATACATCCTGAAAGCTTCCTTAGAGCCAGAGTATATTGAGTCACTACGTGGGATTACCAAAGACAAATCTTGGAAGAAGCCTGAGGTCCAATTGCAGGAAGCTGGTGAGGTTCCCAAGAACCAAGTGCAAAGAGAGAAATACAAAAGAGTAAGTGACAGAATCTCTTTCTGGGAAGGTGAGAAAGCTGCTGCTAAGTTAACTCATAAAGAACCCACATCATCATGCAGTCAACGGCAACCTTCTGCTAAAGCATATCAGCTTGTGAAGTCCATGGACAATTTATCCACAGGCCAGACTGAATATAGTCAAGTCACTAGCAAACAAGTGGTCATAGATGCCAATGGCCCCATAGCCCATCTCTCCAGCTTTTATTCCTCGAATAAACCTAAAGAGACCAGGCCTCAGATACCAGGTCCATCAAAAAATTGTCCTTCAGTTGACCAGACAGGTGAAGTGTCCCCATTTAATCAGAATAAGATAAATGAGCCTATAAAAAGGTTGCCAGAGGCAGAGAGTTCACATCATAAAAGGGATATTACTTTACCATCACGGCAACATCCTTCAGGTGTTGAGAGTGGAATACATACCCCTTTGGAGAGAGACAGATCCCTAACTGGTGAATTAAATCCCAACTTTACAGTTATGTCCCTGAAAGAAAGAATGGATGAACCCAGTACGGAACAGGTCTATAATCACTCTCAATTTGAGAATTTGAGAAAGTTTTGGGATTTAGGAGCCAATACAAATAGTCAAGACAACGTTGAGAAAAATACTACCATCGTAAGCCAAAAACATTTGGTGCCTTTTAATAGCCAGAAACACAAAGAAGTCAGTGACATTAAATCATCAGGAAAAAATATCCATGAAATAGGGACACTTCCAGGCAAAAAAAAAATTCCAGCAAGAGAGGAAACTGAGGAATTAAATTCAAAGTACGCACTCCAGGTGTTACCAGATGAAACCACATTTCCATTGAGACCATCCAAAAAGTCTGCTCATCAGTTGCCAGGAAATGAGTCATCAAAGGAAAATGTGAAAAAGAATATGGAATGGTTTGTTACACCAGTATTCAAGGAAGAAAAGGATTACTCAGACCAAGAGATTCAAGAGTCAATAGTTAAAACAAGTGTTTTGTCTAAAGACTGCAATGACGCTTTTAATGACAACTTACAGAAGCTACTTTTGGAAGCTTCATCACCAGCCATGCAAACTTCTGGTGGAAAAGTTCATGAAAAACAAGTGCCTGAACGAGATATTTCTGGAAATAAAACATGGCCTCACAATACAGATTTTGCTGATACTGAGGAAGAAGTTAGAGGACATAAGGAGATCATTAATGAGCATGTAGACAAAACAGTAGCTCCTCCAAAGGTCAAACCAAACACTTTGACTGCTAGTCTAGACAAACTCCTGAAGGAAGCGACTGGAACTTCACCTTCTCCCTTACCAACTGTGTTAAAACCTGTTACCACTAAGATGAATGCTGAACGTGAAAAGAGTAGAGTTTATGAAAAAGGGATAGAATGGAGTGACAACACATCAGCCTATCAGAAAGAGATAATAGCTCCTTTTCCAAAAGGGGAAGAAACTTTGGGAAATGCAGCTCTCCCCCAGAAAGCTGAAAGTGGTGAGTGCCCACTCACTTCCCAGGAAGTGGCAGAAACTGTGAGGGAAACAGTTATTCAACCTAAATCAGAGTTCTTAGAATTCCATGCTGGCCTAGAAAAACTACTGAAGGAAGCAGTTGAAAACCCCTCTTTAAAAAATGAAAGTGATACAGGGACTCTTTCTCCATCAAAGTTAACAGGTAGTACTGAAGTGCCCAGGCAAGCTGCTTCTGAATTCCATCCTGAGGAAATCAAAGAAACAGTAAAAAAGTCTGAGGCACCATCAGTAAGTGAGAGCACTTTTGATACTGGTTTTGAGAAACTTTTTTGAGAAGCATCAGAAGCTCTTTACCCACTCCAGATGTCAGTGAAGGAAGAAACTCCCAAGAAGGAGCATCCACAGTCAGCGCAGGCCAGTTTCTTGAAGACAGTGCCCTGTTTTTACTGGACAGCCTCAGAGGCCTGTAAAAGGAAGCTTAAGAGTAATGTTCTTAAATCTCAAGTCAACCAATGTGATGAAGGGTTAGGAGGAGACCAAGCTATGACTGACTTATCAGTAGATCTTTGTGGTTCTGAAAGTGGGGTTGGGATCCTTGAAACCCCACCACTCTATGTGGAACATAAAATAGGGGTCACTGAAACTATAATACCCCCAGAGGACAGAGTTAGTAAAAGTGAGGTTTCAGGGGTTCAAGAAGGGTCTTCTCAGGAAGCTGGCTTTGAAGAGACTCCTAAAGCAATGAGTGTGTCCAGAAATAGGCAACCCATTTCTCTCCTGACAAACAAAGAAAACCCTACAAAAACAAGTAAAGTTGAATTGATTTTGGCATCACCATGTAAGAGAGAAGAGAAAAAGGAAGAAAAAGAAGGTTTCTCTGACCCTGATTTTTCAGATGGAAATATTGGTTCCAATGCAGGAAGCTGGAGAAATACCTCTAGTGAGCATTCTGATTTTTTTTAACTCATTGGTTGTTAATGAGTTGGTTTGCAGAATGCTGATATAAACGATGATACAGTTTTTACAATTGGGATTAATTTGACATTCCCAAATTGTGCTAAATTCTTCATATCATTTTAGCTCTGCCTAGCCTTTCTTAATAAAAAACGACATTTATTTTCCTACTCTTTTTTTTTAAGTTTACTTATTTTGAGAAGGAGGGTGCAGAGAGAGAGTGATGGGGAGAGGAAGAGAATCCCAAACAGGCCCAGCACTGTCAGTGCAGAGCTTGGTGTGGGGCTCAAACTCACAAATCATGAGATCATGACCTGAGCCAACATTAGATGCTTAACCGACTGAGCCACCCAGGCTCCTTTATATTCTTTAATCAAATCGGTTGCATAGAGACAGTTTTATCCACTGGCAGTGTTTCAGAATATGACTTTATTCTCATTAATCAACAATTGAAACTTTAGGTTTTAAAAGTATTTTTTAAAGAACTGTTTGGATTTAGAAAGTACTTCTAAAACATTCTAGGTAGTTTTCCTCTGGGAAATAATTAGAATTTCATTCCCTGTTTAATTATTTTAAGTTTGTTTATTTTGAGACAGAGACAGCACAAGTGGGCGAGGAGCGGGGCAGGGTGGGGGGAGAGAATCACAAGCAGGCTCTGCACTGTCAGTACAGAGCCCAATGTGGGGCTCAAATCCATGGAGCCATGAGATCATGACCTGAGCTGAAACCAAGAGTCAGCCGCTTAACCAACTGAGCCATCCAGGTTCCCCCAGAATTTCTTAATTGACAATCCACACAGAAGTCTCTAGTAAGATTTGTGGCAAGAAAGTGCCACAGATGGACACACATTTCACTTTTAGGATGAATATTTTACTACAGTGGTGGCTAAATACCAGGAACAAAGTGAAAAGTTGGAGCTTTGTTTCTCTCACATACCTAGTGCTGTGGTGTTTTGTTGCCACTCTTTTCCTCTTGTTCAATCAACAATCTTCCCCTTCTCTAGAATGTGACTTCGGTCAAATGACTTTACCTGATTCCACCTGAGGGCATAGCCTGACCTGCTGCATTTCTTTGGTTCCAGCCTTGGCCAAGTGGATGAAGATCTTAATCGATTACCACATTCTTTTGAGTGGACTTGGGGGTAGTGGTTTCAGCCAGGCTGTAAGACACAGGGTTTGTCTCAGTTTGCTCTTGTGACCAACAGGGGCTTTTTAGAAGAGAAACCCAGAGGCAAATAGGAATGAGAAATTACCTGATTATAGTGATGAAATGATAAAAGATGCTATCTGTGTGGGACATTTTAGCCAAAGTTGCACAATAGCTAGTGTCAGTCACCCTCCTAGTAGTTTTAAAAATTTGCTTTTTCTGAGTCCCCTCAGCATCGATGAGAGTGAGTGAGCCTTACTGGGTGAATGACTTGTGAGGTTTGCTTTCCTTTGCAATTAACTGTAATCTTCTCTACTTGAAAACTGACCAAAGCATTCCCCTTTAATCCTAATTAATCAAGTTGAAGCATCTTTAACAAAGGTTGCAGGCAAGCAAAGGAAAGTGAAATACCAGTCTTTGAAACCAGACATATGCAAGAGTATAAGTCAGCATGTTAAACATGCTGAAGTAGACTTTCACTAAACTACCCCATGAATGACAAGGGTGAAGTGACCCTAAGAGGGCCTGTAAATTTGTACTTACTTTGGAGACTATTGCCTAATGTATATAGCTTTGTTTATAGTATATCAGCATAACCGATTAGACAGCAAAAATCTATATAAAAATGAAATATTAAATAACAACCCCGACAGAACCCAGAGAAGATACTTAAAATTGATAAGCCAATAAGAGGTATAAAATTGTGCAGTTGTAGTTTTATATCCCCTAACCTAAATTTTTATTTGAAAACAAACAGGTGGGGGTAGAGTGGAGGAGGGAAGAATCTGGCTACAGTAGCGCCACAATTGTGGTGAGCAGCCTAACATGTTTAATATGTGCCTGAGCTCTTAATCAATACCTCAGAATGCTGCTTAAAAAAAAAAAAAGATCAAATACATTTGGAAATGCTGGGAAATTATGCACATTATTAGCATATTAAAGTCTACAAGAATATCTGTAGTAAGAAACCTTTAAATTTGAACACAGAGCATCTCATAGCTAATTCACCTCAGAATCTATTTGCACTAGAATGCCTATTAACACTGGGGAGAACTGGGATGTATTTCAGGAAAGTATTGTGTGGAGAAGTAGTTCCCAAATTCATTGAATCATTAATGAAATCATGCACTGATTGATTTAGCAATTTTCTTTTAAGTAGTCTCCATACCCAACATAGGAATTGAACTCACGACCCTGGTATCAAGAGTCATGTACTCTCCAACTGAGATAGCCAGGCACGCCTAGCAAACATTTTTGAAGTACTTATTGTCAGCCACTGTTCTAGGCACTAAGAATACAACAGTGATAAATGACAGTATTCAGACCAGGCCTAATCCATGATGGAGTTTTCACAGTCAAAATGAAAAAGTTCAGAACCATTCAGAACCATTTTTTGGTAACATTAGATGTATTTTAAAAATTATTCTTATGTTGAGGTTATGCTCTTTTTCTTTTTCTTTTGGTCCTAACATGCCTTTTTAAAAAATAAATAAAGATATGAGTACATGATAGAGCCACCTCCCCCACCCGGACTTTAAATTGACTTAATTAAATAAAAAGTTGGTTACTTCATGTCATTTCCCAACATTTTGTTGGAAATCTTACTACCTCATGAAACCCCAAAAGCCTACATTTGTTCATCTGGGGAATTCACCCATCTCTGTACCTGATTATACACAGATGTTAAACATCTGAATCCTGCCTTCTATGGTTTTCAGCTAATTGTTTTAATGTCCCTAAAACCACTTTGTGGTTGTCTTCAAAAGCTGGAAGTGAAGTGGAAAGATTCAAAGTCTGGCACAGAACAAATCATGTGCCTAAAATAGAGGTGTAGACGACTGCGAGATCACTTTCCTATTTATGTGGTAATCTTGTTTCTCTATGATTTATGCTTGCAAATATTTCTTGACCAGGGAAATGGTTTTTAAAAGACATACCAAGAGCGGTGAAATTTTACTTTTTTTCTGAGAAGTGCTTCATAGAGTAAATAAAAGTATAGAGGCTTGTAACCTAATGCTTGCTTTCAACCTATGGTATCAACATCCACTGGTTTTTAAGTTTGGGTGTGTTTTGTATTGTGCAGTGTTCATCGATTTTGTTTTGTAACAGGTTCAGAAGAAGAACCCAGTTCTGTCTTGAAAACTTTGGAAAAGAGTGCTACTAGGAAAATGACTTCCAAAAGTCTAGAAGACATTTCATCAGATTCACCAAGTGAGAATAAAATTTGCCCCACTGTTCATGCCCCAGTCTAAGCTTAAAAATGCCTATGTGCTCTTCTGTGGCCTCACTGCATGCTGTTGTGCACTGAAGCCCCTAAAAGGGGCATTAGCAGATGAGAATAACCTTTCCAAAGTGAACTGAAGAAGCTCACTCACTCTAAAGTGGCTGGAACTTTTAAAATAGTGCATGAGGTTTGCTTACTAGACAGTACATTTCCTTGAGTTGAAGAATCCAAGTTTGAGTGTTATTCAAGTACAGGGAGTTTTAAAAGATTGTGATAGCTAGTGGTTCTAGTAGTAATAGGTAACATTTACTAAGCATTGCATACTAAGACATGGCTAAGTATTTGACATGCATTATCTCATTTACTTGGCATAAGCAACTCTATGAGAGATGAATTATTATTCCCATTTTACAGATGAGGAAAATGAAGCTCACAGAGGTAAAGTAACTTGCTTAGTGTCCTGCAGCAGAGCTGTGATTCAGAATTAACACACTACTGTCAAGAGCATTTATGAAGTGACCATGTTATACGTGACAGTGATGAATGTCTAATGAATTTTACATGATGAGAGATAAATGAGTCCCTAGCTTCAGGGACTGTCCTCTTTTATTCCTTCTTTTCATACATTTCTTTTGGATATTGGAACTATAAGCCCAAAGACTATCTGGCCTGCGACACTTGCGGCACACTGTCTTCCCCGCCGCTCCCCCCTCCCCCCCCCTCCGCAACTGCTCCTTTAATTGGTGAAGGACTTCTTGAGTACTAACATAAAGGATAATATCTGTAGGGACTTGTGACTTAGAAATCATGACTTCTAGGATGGTTGCTCTTCATTGTTTTTAAACTAAGATGCACCCCTGGGAGTACAGAGGGTCATGAGAAAATTTATTGAATGAAAGTTAACCACTGCCAAACTCATATGATTGAAAGTTGACCATTCTCATGTTTAGAATATGCTTTAGGCATCTGCAATTGAAACTAAAAAGTCTGAATTTAAAAAGGGAAAGGAAAATGCCATTAAATAATTCCAAAAATCAGAGATTTTCAGGACTCTGAAGACAATTTTCCCAGTTTAGAATGCAGTTCTGTCCCCACCAGAGACTTAGAATCTCAGGGTTAGAAGTGACCTTGAAGGTCACCCATTTTATAGTCCTCCTCACCATGCAGGAATTCTTTTTAAAGCCTTCTCAACAGGTGGCCAACCCCCCACATCCGCCTGAATGCTCCCACAGAAAGGGAGTCCAGTCTTTTGTTGGACCGCCCTGATTGTTCTTCCTGATGTTGGTGATGGGTACTGAAAAAAACAACGACAAAACTCAGCAACAATTGTCCGATTTGACAAACCTCTTGCCTGTGAAGCATGGGGCTATTTCCATGGTGCAGCTTTAAAGTAGTTAGGAATGTGTAGGGTTAAAAAAAAAATTCACCATCAGCTGACGGGTATTCCTGCACGCTCCTTCCAAATACCGATACCCACTCTCACACTAGCCTGCCAAGATTCCACTTAGCAGCTGGTCCCCAGTTACATCTCTTCAGTTGACTTCCCAAGCAAGACTCCCAGAGGCATACACACATGATGATGCATGCACAGAAATATTTGTTAATGACCATGGGTTTGAGAAGGTGTTAGTCATGGCTAGCATCTTACCCTTTCCAGAAGAATAAAGAGGCTGTTGCAGCCCTGTGTTTTCTTTTGCTGCTGGCCGATTGCTTGCTCTTAGCTAACCCACTAACCCTTGGGAGTCCGTGTGCAGCAGTGTGCTGATGTAAGCTGCATCGGGGCTGAAATGGGAGCTCCCGCTATGGCACTGGTTCAAATAGCTAATCTAAAGAGAAAGTATTTTGGGGAAGACATCTTGGTTGCACCCCTCACTGCATCTTGACTAATTGCTTCAAACTCCGGGGGCTTCCAGGGACAGTCTCATTGTTCTCTCTCACCAAGGGTCAGCCGTGTTAACCATTTGTTAATTTCTCCTGAACAGATCAAGCAAAAGTAGATAATCTGCCAGAAGAATTAGTACGTAGTGCTGAAGATGGTAAATATCTTTATGTATTTGCATGTCTGTCTGGGGCGGTTTGGGCAGTCACCGGGACGCAGCTGTTGGATAAATAGAAGAACGTCATTTGCCACTATGTGATGAATGGTGCCTAAGTTATTATGAAATGGTTCTGACTTGGTGCATTTAATACTAACTGTATTCTCAAGGCTTTTGCTGGTGATACCATTGTGAGGATCTCATCAGAGACCCTTGGCAAGGGAGGGTTTCTATAAATAGGAAATTGTATTTCTATGGGTATGAGCTGATTTTTGCTACTCTGACTTGCAGAATTCTTGTGAGGGCAGGAAGTGTCGGGTGGGTTCCTGGGTTAAGTTATTCCTGTATTTGATCTGCACATCTCAGCATTTGGATCCTTCTGGGCATAGCTGGTAAAGCTTTAACTTCAAAGGAGAGAGTCCCAGAACTGAAGTCAGGATCCTCCCTGGGTCATTTAAATAGCTAAATATAGACTGAGGTAAAATTAACTTGTTCTGAATATTCAAGAGGCAGAAGATTTTGTACTTTATCAATGGATTGAGTATTACTTGGCTCAGTTATAAAATTCATAGGGTAATAGTGCCTTTGGGGGGGGAAGGGATGGAAATGAGTCTGATTTTTATATTTTATAGTTCAACACTTCTGCAAATGTGTAATTTATATTTGTACACTGGAATTGTGTTTTGTAAATTGCCTTTACTATAATAAAAAATGTGTATTAACTGAGCTTTCCATATAAAATGCAGCATCAGAGCTCCTCAAAGGTCGTTCCTTACTTTTATGTCGTGGTTTGGTCTTTTTCATTTATGTTTACAACTTCATGGAGGTAGGCGGGGCAGGGATTTTCATTGTCATTTACGGATAAGAAAAGCTCAAAGAAATTAGGTGACTTGTCTAAGATCCTGTAGCTAGTTGGTCAGTGGAAGGAGGTGGCAACTAGAATCTTGGCTTCATGACTCCTGGTGCAGTGCTCTTTCCATTTCCCAAGCTATGTGTGGCTCAGTGAATTAGAGGAAAGATGCCAAACTTCTCCTGTGCTGGATGTTTGATTTTTAGTTGAACAGGAGACCCTAAAGCGGCTAATGAAGAGTCACTAAGGGATCAGATGAAAGCAGGCTAAAAACCTGTCAGATGTATTCTGCAGTCTCTGTTGTGAAACTGACATTTGGGCTTTACTTTCATGTCTCTTTAATCCTTCTGTTAAAATGTTATTTATTCTAAATGTTGCTCTTCTGAGTAGATCAAAAAGCAGATCAGGAACCAGATACAAATGAATGCATACAAGGAAGTGAGTAGCAGGATCTTTCTCACAAATGACTAAATGTTGCCACTTTTTATGGTGTTAAATATACTGAAATAACTAACACTATTAATAACGCAGTATTTATTATTGGTACTAAACTCTTGCAGCTTACAAAACTATTTCATTCTGACAAGGGTTTTATAAAAACATTTTACTGCTGTCAGCGTTGAAAGATTAATTCATGGTTCTACTGAGGAAGAGTTACATACTTAAACAATTTTTATGTAGACATATATGTGTATGTTTTATACATAAATATGTACATGTATGTTATTGCTGAGTGTTGTTATACTTTTGTAAGTCTCTCTGCTCTTTGAGTCTTTGCTTAAAATGAAGTTGGCACCTTGTGTTATCAGTTGGCTTTTATGTTGCAGTATATGGTCTTGAGTATAGGATTTCTGTGGCCTTTATGCAAGACTGTAGACCTGAAACAATTTATGATTTATTTACACATAAGAAAGAATTATACTTTTATAAGTATGTGGCATGGTTGTATATGCCTCACTATATACCTATGGAAGCAAGTTTTATTCTGTATGGGGTTTAAGCTCTGAGTTTCAAAACTGAACTCAGTATATACTCAATATATAGAGCAAGTGAACATCTGAGTCTTAAGAAGTAAGTGTATACTTGTGGTGACTAATGCCCATCAGCTAATTAATATCCACCACCAATCAAAAATAATGATTATTTACTCTTTTATGTTCAATCTTAAGGTTGCTGTACTTAACTCTGACTACTCTCTCCAGGACAAATAACACATTCAAAGGGTGTTTGTGGGTCCTAGCAAAGTATATGGATTATGCATGTGTGTCTTCTAAGCTTCCCACTTTCAGTCAGTTTCATTATGCTAGGTGCTATAGGTATGAAGATGATGATACACATGTCTGCCCTCAGGAGTCTACAGAATTTTTATTAACAGTTTCCCAACAGTCTGGATGTGCTAATAAGTCTTAATGAGAAGAGCAGCTAAATGAGGGAGCCATTCGATAGAGAAACAAAGTGCTGATGCTAGAAGGCAGTGACATCTAGTCTGAAATCTGAAACTTTGCTTATGAGATCATGCCAGAGAGGAAGGTGTTGAGCTCTGGCACATGACCTGCCCAAAGGACACTCCAGGCTTCGGCTCTTAGTGCGTGTTCTCTGTCCAGCTGTTGCTGAGGAACCAAGACTCCTGCCCCTTGAGGGTGTTGGGTAAAGAGATTTCTCCCGTTTCTTCTGAACTGGTAGATACTTAGACTTAGTCATCTTGGTTTATCTTGTTACGTTTTGTTCAACAGTTAGCCTGAGGAGTGAAAACAGTACATGAACATATATGTCAGTGTATCCGTGTTTTCATTCATGACCCAGCTTAGTTAGGTCAAGCCACATAGGCTAGTCATGTGCTGAATTCTGGATGAATTAATTTCTCTCTTATTTTATAACATCCAAGATGACTTTAATGTCTTAGCTGAGATTATTGCTTTTCTCTAGTGAAGACTGTATTCTTACCACAAAACAAAATTAAATACATGATCAAAACATAAATAACTAAAGCCCAATAAATGTAAAACTGACTACATTTGAGTAGCAGATGTAGATTTTGCAAATAATGGAAAGCAGCATGAGGATGAAAAGTTTTTGTGTCCTCATTGGGCTGTACTGTGCCCTCATGGGACCTGGTCTTACACCACTTCAGTGTAAGTCACCTGAATATACACACATACACATTATTGTTTAATGGGAAGCAATTAAAGAAGATATTATCTCATGAGTCACCGTAAAATGTGTTTTGATACATTTGTGAGCCAAAGGCTAGATGAGAATTACTAGGTGAATAATAAAATATTTAATATATCTAGTTCAATTTTCATTTGTCCTTCATTAGATTTCTTTTAACCAAAGATGAATTTAACTAATGCTTAGGGCTGAATTTGAGCTTTTTTAGTCATATATAGAAATATAATTTGATTTTAATCTATCTGTTTTCCTGGTATCTCTTTCACTGCTGAAACCAAGTCAGTATATTTGTAACACATTGAATAGGCAATTTAAAGATTATTAGATAATATTTACTTTTTAGCAAATACTTAGAGTATACTATGTGCCAGGCACTATTCTAATTGCCTTAAAACATATTAACTCATTTAATATGCAAGCTCTGATTTACTTTAAGAAAAGCTTAGACACTGATTCTTTTTGTGTTTTTTTTTTTTTTTTTTTAGTTTATTTTTTGAAAGAGCATGCACAAGAGAGAAAGGACCAGAGAGAGAGGCAGGGTGGGAGACACAGAATCCCAAGCAGGCTCTTCACTGTCAGCACGGAGCCCAATGAGGGGGCTTGAACTCACAAACCACAAGATCATGACCTGAGCCAAAATTAAGAATTGGATACTTAACTGACTGAGCCACCCAGGTGCCCCAGACCCTAATTATTAAAGGAAATAGATTTCTAACTAGAATTACACAAATGAGAAATAGAATTCATGATCTCATTGTGACTTCCACATATATACTTGCTGTATCAAAGAGTATCTAAATTAAGGTGTCTAAATAATAGGTCTAAAAATTTGTTTAAAAAAGCAGTTTGAAATCATAGTCTTTCACAATTCTGAGTGAGAAACACTATCAGAGAAGTGATCCTTATAATCACAAAAAGCCTTCTATTTGCCACTCAGCGAGGACGTTTATGATTGAGTTCTGTATGGAGATCCTTACTGTCCAATGAAATAGTTTTTCAGCCTGAAGCATGTTTTAAAAATACATCTCAAGGAGATGAACCAATAAATCACACATTGTGTAGTTTGAATCTGATATGAAAAATAAGTTAAAACTGATTCACAATAGCTCTGTTTTAATATAATTCAACTCCAGCTCCAGATGAATAAAAATGAACAGTTTCTAAACTAATTCTTTTTTTTTAATGTTTATTTATTTTTTGATAGACAGAGCCAGGGAGAGGGGGACACAGAATCTACAACAGGCTCCAGGCTCTGAGCTGTCAGCACTCAGCCTGATGCGGGGCTCAAACTCATGAACCATGAGATCATGACCTGAGCTGAAGTTGGCCACTTAACCAACTGAGCCACCCAGTCGCCCCTAATTCTTATTTTCAATTGTTTCATCTCCTTGCTAGTTCTCTCTGTATAATTTATAAAAACTGCACGTTGCTTATCTTAGGATCCTGTGCATGTGAACTACTATGCCTTTAACCTTTTTATAAAAATATCTCACTCACAGATAGAAGAAAAGTGTGTTTTCAACTTATGCTTTATGTTTGTCTGATAATTGTAAGGATAATTTTGAATGGAAATGCTGCTGTTTAGTTTCCACAGTGCCTTCACAGCCTGATAATCAGTTTTCCCACCCTGACAAACTCAAAAGGATGAGCAAGTCCGTTCCAGCATTTCTCCAAGATGAGGCAAGTTTGTCTTTTGTAATTTCAGAAAAATGGAACCAAATAGGTGGATTTGCTCTGCCAAGGTTGGTGAGTTTGTATTCAGCTGTGGCAGAGACCAAAGAGGTCAGCAGGACTGATCCTTGGCCTTTCCTATCAATAGAGGTAGTGTTGTTGATCCTGGAATGAGGCATGGCATGTCTCATTTGACTCAAACAGCAACTCATTTTGGTGGTAAAGTCAAATTGCATTGATTTTGGAATGTGACTTTTGTTTCAAAGTGGGTACAAAATAAGAAATCCAGACAAATATGTTGGTATGAAACAACCAGTCTGTAGTGTACAGTAGAATTGATTTGTGAAACTTAGTCTGGGTAGCATGACTAGCTTGAAAGCATATGGTAAATAATAGAGTGACAGTAACACAGCCGACCTTAAGGATATCAACTGGGTGTAGGCAGTTTGCATACATTATCTCCTTTATTCCTCCCACAAGCCTGGATGGTGGGCACCATCATTATCCCCAGACATTACAGGTAAGGAAACATGGGGAGAGGTAAATAACATCACTCATCTACAAAAGGGTCAAACCAGGACTGGAGTCCTGATCTGATTTTCATGGTTAGCCATTATGCCTACTGTCTCAGGTCAGAATAGGACTATTATCTGCTATTCCCTGAATACTTTGTAAATACCAGGCACTTAATATTCATTCTGATATCTAACTCTCACTAACTAAATATTTAGGTACTATTTTCTCCATTTTATAAAACAGGGAAGTGCCTGAGATGTTTAATAACTTTCCCCAATCCAACAGCTGTTAAAAAGTAGATCTAGGATTTTAACTCAGGTCCTTTGACTTAATTAAGATTCCATGTTCTAGGTTTTGGGATGGGTTAAAGAGGTGACAGGGATTAAGGAGTGCACTTGTCATGAGGAGCACTGTGTGATGTATGGAATTATTGAATCACTATACTGTTCACCTCAAATTAATATAGCACAGTAAGTTAACTAGAATTAAAATAAAAATGTAAAAAGCCAAAAAGTAAAGAAAACTAAAGAAAAAATTCCCTGTTCTTGCAGCAGGGGTAGTTGGAGCTTGGTATTAGACATTCCTACTCCTAGCTGTGCTACACATTTGCTGTGTGGCTATGGGCAGGTTTCTTACCTTCATTGAATCTGGTTTCCTAGTACCTATCTGATTAGGTTGTGAGTAGTCAGTGAGATAATGCAGGGAAAACACAGGGCACAGTGCCTGACACACAGTAAATACCCAGTAAATGCTAGCTGTTACTATTTGCAGTTCAGGTCTGATTTTTGATGGTAACATAAAAAGCTTTATTGTGAAGCATTCTCTTAGTAGATGAAATAGGAGGAAAGTTCTATACAGCATATAAATTACATACCTCCTCCCTGACCTCCTAGCCTTCTCATTGCTTATTCTTGGGCCTTAGATGAACTGTATTTGCAAATATTCACCCTTTCATATGCATAACAACCCACATTATAGTTCCTTTGAAAAGATTCATTCTTTGAAACTAAATCATTAGTTGGAAGCCACTGGTGGGCACCTCAAGGAGTTCCTGTGGTTTTATACCTTTGTAAATAGGCTTTGGTCTTGGTTGGTCATATGAATAAGCTATATAATAACTAAAGAGGCCAGTGATACCAGTTCCTGGTTTTTCATTTTTCTCCTCCTTTACTTTTAATGTGCTGCCTCATAGGTCCACACCAAAGAAAGTCCAAGTCATTTGAGTTTATGCATCAGAGATGCCAAATTAAGCTGTCTATGCCTTTCAAAGCACATGGGTCAGACTGAATGTTAAAGGAAATGGACATGAAACCAGGCTTTGCGCCTTTGTCCACTATCCCTTTGAGGCTTAGTTTAGCATCACTCACATTTATTGAGTACCTGCTATGTGAAAACTGGTGTTCCAGGTCAACAAGACAGGATCCCATCCTTCAGTAATTCACTAGTGACCAGATATACTAGGTAGACCATAGTACATGCTATAATAGAGGGAAATGGACTGTAAGCATGCGGGGAGAGCGTGTTACAACAGAGACATTTAAAAGGTATGGTACTGTTTTCTTCGTTCTTAATCCTTGAGGGAGGATTTTTTTCTTATCCATACAAGTCATAAATTTTGTTTTTCTTTAACTCCTTCCTTAATCTGTATTAGAATTGGCATCTGTTATACTGATACATAATTGCATGGTCCTAGAATATGTTGGCATGAACTAACTACTCCATACAGATATTTTCCTAACTCCACTGAACTGCTCCATAAACTTTCTAACCCCAAAAGGAGCTCATTCTTAATCATAAATTTTTAAAGGTACTATCTAATAGACTTTAGCTCTGAATATAATAAAATTTATTTTTGCCACTTTTTTTTTTCTTGACCCAGGTAAATATTTCCTGGTATATATTTAAAATATTACTTTTTTAAAAAATTTGTTAAAATCTAATGTGGGTAGAATTTAATACACACTAATAAATATAATTTAATATATACTTCCCTATAGCAATAAAAAGATAAGCACAATAGCACTATGGAAATATACAAGAGGTCATTTAAACATTTTAAAATATATATGTATGTGTGTGTGTGTGTGTATACATACACACACACATACATATATATAACTTCTAGTTGAAACAGATCAAACTGGCATTTATTTTTCTAGTTTAATATGTTTCAAGTAAAAGATTTGAATTTTTGGAAAGACAGGTCTATGTTAATAATGAGAGGAATTAAACATGATATTTTATGTTTTGATAGTATATCTTAGGCCTTTTATTGTCTGGGTAAAGTTAATTTCTCATATCTATCAGTAAAGTTCCCCAAGTAACATAAATACATAACACTAAGAGAGTAACAAGAAAACTCACTGTAGTGCTGCCTTCTGTATCACCTGGGCCCACCTTGTAGGTGAAAAAAAAAATCACTTTGTTATTTTGGTAGCGAAACACTGCTCTCCCCCTTAGGTGAGGTCCAAGATAGACCACCTATTTCATCTTGAATCCCATTCCCTGGTGATTAACACTAGTGACTAGTGTCCTTTGACCTTTAGAAATGTTCATAGATCCCTGGGATACCAAGATAGCATATTTTTCTAAATTGAAATTCTGATCTTCACTCATCCTGAATTTAAATTTTGTGTATATTATATGATGTTTTGTAGAGTGATGACAGAGAAACAGATACAGCATCAGAAAGCAGTTACCAGCTCAGCAGACACAAGAAGAGCCCAAGCTCTCTAACCAATCTTAGCAGCTCCTCTGGCATGACGTCCCTGTCTTCTGTATGTAAACAACAGCTCCGTGTTAATATCTCTCTGCTTCTGTGAACCTTGCTTGCCATGCTCCTTCTTAGTATAAAATGGCCCCCGTTGTATTTCCCAGATTCCAAGGGCAGTAGCTTTTTCTTTAACCCACAATTAGCTTCTGGCTAGCTAAATCTTTGTTTTTCTTTTTTTAAGCATAAAAAGAGTTCATATCCGTTACAAACGAATATGGTTTTTTTGGATGTAAGTACTTCAGAAATAAGCCTAAATTACCAACAAGAAGAACCACTACATTTTTCTGTGCAAAAAAAGGGGTAACTATTGTTAAGTTCTGCTTATATCAGATATGTTTTATATTCTGTTTGCAGGTACAGAATTGTATCGCTTTTTTAGCAAACCTGATGACTAAAGGTCCTGATTCACATGAAAGAATAGGAGAGCGAATTCTTTGCCTTACAGAGGGATTCAGAATGGGGCTTTAAAAAGATAGCTCCTCAAGTGTAGTTTTCATGTTGGCTTTAGAAAATTTGACTTTACCTAAAACTTCTTTCATAAAGTGAGATCAGTCATTGTGCATGTAGTATGTGTGTAGACATATATATATATATGTAAATACATCCACATAAACTTACCCAAATAGTTCTCTGATATACATACACATGCACATATCTCACCAGGTATGTTAATCAAATGATAAAGCTGTACTTAAATTCTTACTAACCTCCCATTTCTCAAACTTTAAAAAAAATCTGTTTAAATTGTATTTCTGCTGATAACAATCAAATGTATGGCCTTGGGAAGGCTTTCAACTGCCTTCATCAATCATCCATTCTCTACCCTTCTTGACCTCTAAAGACTTATGGCCCAGTAAGCATTTTCCTAGATTCAGTGGATGAGTAACATAGTAAAATTCCTTTTTAGTGCCTTGGAAATTTGATAGAGCATTGTGTCATTGTGATTTGTGTGCCTGGGGTTTCTCACATCCTCTTTCTTTAGTGTCTTAAATACTAAGCATGCCTAAAAATGGAACTTTGCCCCCTACCATAAAATCCCCCTGCTTTGAAATGAACCAGTATCTAAATAACTTTGCATTTCACTTTTCATCTGTATCTTTTAGAGATAATTTTTTTTTTTTTTACACACTAGTTGTGCCATATACCATGTCAGGTTGTCTGTGCTGGTCTGTCTTTATGCCATATTTTATTAACTGCTTTAATTACAAACTAGAGAAATAATGGCAAGCAAAGATTATACTCATGATCCTTCTATTGGGTTCGGGAAAGAGATAGAAACAAACACTGTGTATTTTGGATGTTTTCAGGTGAGCGGCAGTGTGATGAGCGTTTACAGTGGAGACTTTGGCAATCTGGAAGTGAAAGGAAATATTCAGTTTGCAATCGACTATGTGGACTCACTGAAGGAGTTGCATGTCTTTGTGGCCCAGTGTAAAGACTTAGCAGCAGCAGATGTTAAAAAACAGCGCTCAGACCCGTAAGTACAATTTGAAGTCACTGTTTTCCCTTAGTTATCCATAATCTTGTAGAAATTGGGAAAGAAAGAAAGAAATTAAGAGGAGAATATATGTGTGACTATGTCAAAAGGAAATGTTTGAGAAGAAAAGTTGGGAGAACTGATGTTTTATTTACTTTATAAATTCATATGCCAAACTTATTAAACTATAAAAATGTCAGAGAAGCACAGAATGTCTCAAGTTAGAAGGGACCTTTGAGGCCATCTTGTCCCATTCATTCTTTTAACAGATAAGGAAATCAGGGCCAGAGAAGATAAGTGATCTATTTACATAAATTCAGAGTCAGCACCAAAACTGGGAATGAGGGCTTGAACCCAGTCTGTTCCCATGACATTCAAGCTTCTCTAAAATTAGGGACATACTTCAGAATGTTCAGTGGTGCAGAAAGACTTAAGACTCTAGACTGAGATAGATTCTAAATTTAACTTCTATTTTACAGAAAAACTTTAGGGGAAATTACCAGCTCATCTTTTAAATCAGTGGCTTAATTGATACTTCAGTATATTTGCAAAAGTTGAATGGCATTCCTCACTTATGCAGAAGTCAGGTTCTCAATTATTTTGCTGGCATAAGCCCAATCCATGCTTTTGTTATAAAAACAATTGGGGTCAGTATACCCCATTGAATGTGACTTGATTAGGTTTGTGCTAAGAGTAATTTTTGTTTTCAAAAGGCAGTAACAAAAATTTTTTTGAAAAGTTCTGCAAGCACCAAAGTCTTTTCTTAATTGGAAACAAGCCAGTAAAATTAAGCACTACATTAGAGGTCTGTCCCCCACCACTCTCCACGTCAAGTAAGGCCAAAGAAAAAAGGAGCTCAGGAAATTTCCTTTAAAAGTTTTCAAAACAATTATGAAATGATCAGTTCTGCTGCAATGTGTTTAAACGTTTAAGTATAAAAGACATTAGTTAGAACATTTATTTACTTAGCGCTTTTCTCAGTGACATAAATTAATTATTTCTGTCAATTACCAATGCATTGTTCAATGTAGAGATGGAAACATCACTTTTATTTTTTCTGACCTTCTTTGTCTTTCCACTTCTCTTTTTAGATATGTAAAGACCTATTTGTTACCAGACAAGGGCAAGATGGGCAAGAAGAAAACACTTGTAGTGAAGAAGACTTTGAATCCTGTGTATAATGAGATACTACGGGTATCTATGAACTCTCTGTCTAGGAAAATCCTAAATGATGATATGTCACTGTGATTATGTTTAAATAGCCATGTCTTCTAAATTTTTTTAATGTTTACTTATTTTTGAGAGAGAGAGAGAGAGAGAGAGAGAGAGAGAGATCATGAGCAGAGGAGGGACAGAAGGAGAAGGAGACACAGAATCCGAAGCAGGCTCCCGGCTCTGAGCTGTCAGCACAGAGCCCAACATGAGGCTCAAACTCACCAAGATCATGACCCGGGCCAAAGTCCGACCCTAGCCAACTGAGCTACCTAGGCACCCCTAAATAGCCATGTCTTCTTGGTAGTATCTCTATAGATGAAGTCAGTCACAGGGAGAGAAGAAGGAAAGGAATAAACATTTTCTGAGAAACTGCCTTCTATGAGACCATACACCATGAATGTTGCATGTGTTCTGTGTGTCACAGATGAGGCAGGTGAAGCTTAGAGAAACAAAGGAACTTGCTCAAAGATACACAGCTGACAGCATTGAGCATTGTAACCAAATGATATACCAAAAGCATAATTCTGATCATGTTATTTCTCTGCTTAAAATCTTTTAGGATTCCCATTACCCTTAGAGGCAAGTTCATCCTTAACATGTTACCAGTCCCTCCACAACCTGGGCTCCAGCCTCCTCTTTCCAATTTCAGAGTCTTTGTTCAGGTTCACCCTGATTCCTTTCTGTTCTATGGTGGAACTGACTCTTTTCTCACACTGCTGGACTTCCATCAGGCTGCAGTGCTTTTTCCCATATTCTATCCTTAACTAGCTCCTATAGCCTTAAATACCTCTTCCTTTGAGAGGCTGTCCTTAACCTATCAGGCTGCTCTGTGGTCTGCTGCCCTAGTCACCTTGTTTTATATCAGGCTTTGTTAACACTCAGCAGTTGAACTATTAGCTTCGTTGTCTGCTTTCCCATTAAACTGTAAGTTCCAGGAGGGCAGGGTCCAGCTCTGTGCCATTTATCAACTGTGTGCATTTGGGCAAATGACTTAACCTGTCTGTACTTCAGATCTGCCACAGGGAGACAATAATGGTACCTACCTTTCTACCTCAGTAGTTGTAAACATTACAAGATTTAATATGTGCAAAGTGATTAGCATATATTAAACACATGTTGACTCTTAATACAGTGTCTGGATAGGTACTCAAAAAATGTTTATTGGATGGATAGATGGATGGACAGATGAATAGAAACTATACCTGCCTCAAATAACCATATTTCCCTCACCCCCCCACCTGCATAATGCTGCCTTAGTTATAATTTAAAATGGAAAATATAAGAAGTGTCATTCATTCCCTCTTTCTGAAAAGGCTGTCCAACTCTTTGATTATCTTCTGAGGAAATAGGCAGAATTAAATTAATTTTTAGTCATCCATGGGTCAATTTTTTATATATTTTCTGTAGCCAGTTTGTAATTACAGTTTGACTGTGATATACCTCCATACCAGAGCTGTTTCTAGGTCAGCTACTTCAACCCTATACTCAGAAAAAGCCACCTAACTAAAATGGTAAGCTCAGAGAAACACCAGCTTTCTACAACCAAAATGGACATTCAAGTAGTACATCATAAAACCAAATAGAGATTATTTTTAGGTTAGAAGTACTATTATCCCTTCCATGATTATATACAATCTAGGATTGACTACATCTTAGACAAAAAACTGTTAGGATGCCAAATATTTTCCACTTAACCATATGAATCAGGAAAAAAACCCCAAATATATCTTTACTTGAAAAGTTCCTTGTCATTGCAGGATATCTATAGGGGGAGGTGTTGTGTATAAATAGGGGCAAATGGTATATGGGAATTCTCTGTACTTTCTGTTCAGTTTTGCTATAAATTTACAACTGCTCTAAAAAATAGACTGTATTACAAAAAATACCTTGTCCTTAGGTAGAAAACAGACCACAGGTTTAAACTTCATTAGCATTTTTAGACTGAATTGGATTTATGTTATATCTAGTTTGAACTAAAAACATCCAGTAAAAAATGAAAAATTGGCTTTTGTTTTTAGAGAGCTATTACTGGCTATGATATTTGAACCATGGTTTATTTTTCCAGAAGCAGAAAGAAAATCTTTTGTGAAAGATGGATTTAGCTCTTTGAAACAAGACACTAAGAATAAGATGACTTTGCAATATTTTTGAGACTTGAAACCTAGCAGATGAGGAAACCTGCTCTGTACAGATGACTTTTCTCTTCATCTGTGTCATAGCTTTGGCACAAAATAATATTACTCACCACTTTAATTTCCTTCTTTGATCTGCAGTATAAGGTCGAAAAGCAAATCTTAAAAACACAAAAGCTGAACCTGTCCGTTTGGCATCGGGATACATTTAAGCGCAATAGTTTTCTAGGGGAAGTAGAACTTGACTTGGAAACTTGGGACTGGGACAACAAACAGAATAAACAACTGAAGTGGTACCCACTGAAGCGAAAGGTAAGTTCTGCCATTTTTGGTTGGTTGGTTCGTTGTTTGGTTGGTTGGTTGGTGTGGGGCCTGGCATGTAGGAGAAAGCTACTATAAACTGTATTTTAATTAATAATGGTTATCCATTGTTTGGGATCATTATATCTTTTTACTCTCTCTAATATGTCTCTTAGGTGCTTTTCTGTATTTTCTATTCTCCTTTTTTTCTTTTTTCTCCTCTCCAGAATTCAAGCTGGCTTGTTTTTGCTAACCTGTGTTTCTATTCAATAATTTTCTTATCTGCTATGTCTAAAACACCCATCATACAGGTTTTCAATCACATTTTTCAGATTTATATTTTCATTTGATTTTTCTTAGATCACTCCTCTGCTAAAATTCTCTATCTTAACATTATCATTATGAACACATTTCTCAGTTATTTAAATTATGTGTATGAAAACCCAATATCCTAACCATTTGTATGTCTCTGTAATCTAATTTTTTATCTTAGTTTGGTCCTTTGGTCCTTTGTCCTGGTATGCCAGTTCATTTTTTATTATATGCTAGACATTGTATATGAGAACTCCAGGGATACTTTGAGAGGGTTTACTTTTGTGTCTGATACACAGAGAGGGGACAGATCACTTTAATCTGAAAATAAACCAACTAGAAGCTGGGTTTCAGTTTTCATGTGGTCTCAGGTAATTTTTGTTTGCTCAGGTTCCTAGGCTATGGCCTTTCAGGAGCTCCAAGTGAAAGAGAAGTAGTTCTCAGATTTTAGCATGCATCCAGTTCATTTGAAGTACTTATTATAATACAGATTTCTGGGCCCTACTCCCAAGGTTTCTGATTCAGTAACATCTGGGCCCAAGTTTCTAGCCATTGCTGATTGCGATAAAACGTCTTGCCTGGGGACCATTCTTTGAGAACCACTGATAGAGTATGTCTAAGTCTATTCCTTTCTATTATGCTCTAGTTTGGCACTACTTCAAAATTAGCTGATGCCTCAAGGTGAAAAGCAAAAAATGTCAGACTCAAAGATCTCCATTTCTGTCCTGTCCATGTTAATAATTCTTTAATTCCTTGAAATAAATTTGTTTAGTCTTTTTTTTTAATTCCCAGTGTGAGGGTATGATTCCAGCTGGAAGTGATGAATATCAATAATAAAAATCATTGTTTAGGGGCGCCTGGGTGGCTCAGTCGGTTAAGCGTCCAACTTCGGCTCAGGTCATGATCTCACGGTTCCTGGGTTCGAGCCCTGCATCAGGCTCTGTGCAGACAGCTAGCTCAGAGCCTGGAGCCTGTTTCTGATTCTCTGTCTCCCTCTCTCTCTGACCCTCCCCTGCTCATGCTTGCTCTCTCTCTCAGAAATAAATAAAGCATTAAAAAAATTTTTTTAAACTGTTAAAAAAATAAAAATCATTGTTTAGCATCTCCATAATAAACCACTTCTGCTTAAGAAATGGTTCCCAAATATTGCATCAAAATCACCTGGATCACGCACTTATTCAAGACTCACTGGATGTGAATTCCTTAGAAGATGTCAAAAGCTTTTCATTTTAAACTCATTTCCCTTGGGTTTCTTTTTTTTTTTTTAATGTTTTTATTTATGTATTTATTTCTAGGGGAGAGAGAGAGACAGCGTGAGCAGGGGAGGGTCAGAGAGAGAGGGAGATACAGACTCTGAAATAGGCTCCAGGCTCTGAGCTGGCAGTCAGCACAGAGCCCGACGTGGGGCTTGAACCCACGAACCGCGAGATCATGACCTAAGCAAAAGTCGACGCTTAACCGACTGAGCCACCCAGGTGCCCCTTCCCTTGGTTCTTATATATAGCCATGTTTTGGCAATAAGGCTCTAAAGGACCAGAATTTGAAAGTGAAACCAGCTCTTTTATACTTAAAAATAATAGATCTACATTTTAAAATTATTGTTCAGTCTTTGTTGTTCTTATAGACATCAAGCCATGTGATCTGAAATAATCAGGTTAATGCAGCTTTGAAAATGTAATGTCTGACTTTTCTTCCCCCTTGCTGTCCCCACACTCTTCAAAAAAAGAGAATAACACAAATAAATAGTTTTACATCTGGCTGGGTGTCTAACAAAATTTGTGTGTTTTTATATAAACCAAAGCATCCCAGAGCATTTCTCCTATCTCCAAGAAAGCCATTCTGGTTTCTTTACTGTCTCTGAGACTAAAGGCCTTGAGATGTTTTCTGGGTACCAAGCAAGTCTTTCCAAGATACACAGTATGCCTTTCCCAGGTATAAAAGCAAGAGTTTAGCTCTCATGGGGAAGGAAATGTTAATCCAGGACACTCATGGGTGGTACATAGTCACAGAAATGGGCAGTTTTTGTCCTAATACAGAATACCAACAAACAGTAAAATAGTTTGTGTCTCACACTTACCGACAGTGTCCTTCATTTTCCAGACAGCACCAGTTGCCCTTGAAGCAGAAAACAGAGGTGAAATGAAGTTAGCTCTCCAGTATGTCCCAGAGCCATTTCCTGGTATGTAATGATTTTCCATCCAGATTTATGTCCTTTCCTGATCCCTTCCCTCTCCAAGGATTTCTTCGAACTCTGTGATATTTTCAAAGGAGAAACCCTAAACAAAATTATTAACTTAGTAATTGTATGGACCAAATGAGTCCATTTATAGTTGATAATTCTCTTTTTTTTATTGTGGTAAAAACACGTAACATAAAATTTACCATCTTAACCATTATGAACTGTACCACTTGTAGGGTTAAGAATATTCACATTGTTTGAAGCCGATCTCTAGACCTTTTTTCATCTTGTGTACCTGAAACTCTCTACCTATTAAACTTTAGCCTCACCATGTCTTTCTCCCAGCCCCTGATAACCACCATTCTACTTTCTGTTTCCATGGGTAAAAAAAAAATCTTCAGTTTACAGAATTCTCTAGTTTACAATTCTTGTTTGAACTATCACCTCACTCTCCAAAAAGTTGGTATCTTCGTAGTGTGAATGGCCTTTCCTGTATTCTGAATTTGGACCTATTGGTAGCACTATGTTAAGAATGGAGCCTGGGTGTTCCTCACAGGCAAGAATTAGAAGGATTCCTTTGGAGCCCCTAGGAACTTAGAGTGCTTTGATTTGTTCTCCATTCTCAAAGTCTTAGCAAGATAGAAAGCTTTTTCCGCAAGATTCCTAACTGCATCCTTGATGTTAGGGCCTCAGGTCTCCAGCCCAGTTAAGGAGCAAGAGACTAGCAAGAAATGAATGCCAGTCGCTTCTCATTTCCCAAGCAAGTCCTCCAAGTTTTTCTCCTTAAAATCTGTATGAATGTTATGACTGAAATCAGAGGTTGCAACTCAAATGCTTTCAGTAGTCAGGCAGTGAAACTAGTGGGATGAAAGAAATCTTGGATGATAAGGGCAGTGATTGAACTAGAAGAAGCATTTTAATTCAGTTAAAAAAAAATTGGAGGGCAAGCAAAACATATCTTTAGGCCCATATGGCTGCCAAACCACTGTCTTGTTACTTCTGGATCTTCCTAAAAGGCAGATTTTTAAAAAATATATAATTTCTATCCTATCATTTATGGTCCACATGCATAGAAATTTTGCCAGCCTGTTTTCCACCACTATATGTTGTGATGGGCTCCACCTTGTCTGATATTTTGTTCATGTAGTTTCTCTTCTCTGGAATGGCTTCTTCTTCTCAACCTATCCAAGTCTTAGATGAAGCCCCATCTTTTCCATAAAGCTTTACTTGGTCAAATGTGTTCACCCTCATTGATCACATCATCACCTAGAATATTACATTAATAACTTGGCATTTCATTCTATATTACATTTTTATAGTTTTTATTTGAATTACTCCTTTTAGCTTAAGTGTAAACATTTCCCAAGAACTTAGATTTCTTATATTCCTTGTTTCCAATGACATTATTAGTGTAGGGCTGAACACATAATAGATACTCATTAAATTCCCATAGGTTGACTGGGTTAACACATTCAGAGAAATGTGGTAGTGGTCCTCTGTCCATGTGCACCCAGCCTAGCCAACAACTAAACTTCTCAGTAATCCCCTGTCCATAACATTAGTTATTATGTGTGTGTATACAACATTGCCACAAAGTATGTAACCACATTTAGCAAGAGTGGCTGTACCTTAGCCAGTACCTGTTTTGGTTACTTTATACTCATTATGTTTCAAATGCCTCCATTAACAGTATTAATATTTGAGAAGAATATGCATTTCATGGAGTTGTTTTGAGTATAACTGTAAATGGATGATTTACATACCTGATCTCAATAATTTATCTTGAAACAAGCCAAACCCAAACAGAATGACTTAATACTCTATACTTGGAATCGATATAAATTATTTGCATAGAGCTATCTGAGGTCAGTGCAGCCAGACTAGGGAAGATTTAGTTAAGAATATATAGATTTAACCAATTAGGATCGTATCATGGAGCTCTAGCTAGCATCACTGTGCCAGACCATTTTTAGGCTGGCATCTTTGGACACAATATTGCCAAGAAAGGAATGGCAGTGAAATTTTATTTTCTGCCCTTTTTCAATTACAGGTAAAAAGCTTCCTACAACCGGAGAAGTGCACATCTGGGTGAAGGAATGTCTCGACCTACCACTACTAAGGGGCAGCCATCTAAATTCTTTTGTTAAATGGTAACAGTATTGACAACTCTGCCTCTCTCATTTCTACCATAGCCCAGGCTTTGCTGGTTGGTTTCAGGTCTCTCTATCTATGATGCTGAAACTTATCATTCATGGTTTGAATAAAGTAACTTGGGGCAATGGCAACACAAACTAGAGGGATCTGTGACATGAACCCCTAATTTGAGTTTTTAAGTGGCAAACTTTTTTCTCACTTATACATATAAATGTCTGGCATCTAGTCAGTAGTGTTTAAACAGATATTAGTGTACTTTCTTAGCTCCCTGTGACTAATTTTACCTATATCAATTCTTCCAGAAGACCAGTTGTAGCTGCTTATGTTTATATGACATTATCTGTGATTTTCTCTATACACATTATTCATAGATGTCATCTGGTAAGATTTTTCAGTTCAAGGCAGTCTCTCATTCTGAGACAACTTTCAGACCTTCTTGTATTTATAAGAATAAATAGGTAGGTTAAAAACAGAAAAGAGATGGGGGGCCTGGGTGGCTTAGTCGGTTAAGCATCCGACTTTCGCTTAGGTCATGATCTCGCGGTTCGTGGGTTCGAGCACTGCGTCGGGCTCTGTGCTGACTGCCAGCTCAGATCCTGGAGCCTGTTTCAATCTGTGACTCCCTCTCTCTCTGACCCTCCCCTGCTCACGCTGTCTCTCTCTCTCTCCTAGAAATAAATAAAACATTTAAAAAAATTTAAAAAAAAAAACAGAAAAGAGATAATCAGGACTAGATCATATTTCCAAATTTTAAAGGAATCCTCAAGCAATTGCTACCATATTGAGCCCTTACTAAATGAAAGCACTGAACCAAGTTGTTTGCTTCATATGCAATTCTAATATTAACCTTATGAAGTAGGTATCATGGTTCTCATTTTAAAGATGAAGAAGCAAGTGAGAGATTGACTTTCCCTACAATACACAGCCAATAAGTGGCAGAGTCAGGTTTCAAAGCAAGTCTGGTCCACCGTAATGAAGAGTCTCTCCAGCAGGATGTTGCCACCACCATTGCCACCATCATCACTGCCACCCCACCACCACCACCACCATGACCACCAGCACCATCCCCATAATCCCCTCCAACACCACTACCTTCACCACCACCACTCCCATAATCACCTGTCACCAACACTACCACCTTCACTACCACCCCCATGACCCCCTCATGACCACCCCCACCCTACCATGACCACTCCAGCACCACAACCACCATCCCCATCCCCATCATCACCATCACCATCACCATCACCACTGCCTGTCTACACTCTTTTTCCTTCCATTTCCTTCTGCCAGTCTTCAGTAGCTGTGCTGAAGTGCACTGAAGGTGTAAATATTCGCCATCTCATTAAAATGCTTTCACAATGATTCCTTTTGTAGTATCATCCTTCCAGATACAAGTAGGAAAAGTCGCCAAAAGACGAGAGCTGTAGGGAAAACCACCAACCCTGTCTTCAACCACACCATGGTGTATGATGGGTTCAGGCCTGAAGATCTGACAGAAGCCTGTGTAGAGCTTACTGTCTGGGACCATTACAAATTAACCAACCAGTTTTTGGGAGGTCTTCGGATTGGCTTTGGAACAGGTAATGTTTGTTACATTTTTAATTTTCTATGAGCCAAGTGCTTCTGGAGACAGTAGAGGTTTGCCTGTTTGTTGCTTTGCTTCTTCCTAATGAAAACAGTTACTCTATTTATGTGTAATGTGTGTTAAGTGTAATGAAATGAATGAGTGAAGGAATGTCAGGCTGAATGCCAAGGGCTCTAGGTAGGAAGATTAACAGGATGTAGTGTCTGTCCACACAGAGCTTAAGTTATTGTATGTGGGGGATATAGAAAATCCTTCATCACTACTCCTTGAAAAACATTTATATCTTTTTATGACTGAAAGGGTGCTTTAAGTAATGATAGTAATTAACATTAATGGAGTACTAGTCACTGTATTGAGTGCTTTATTTATATCAATTTATTTAATCCTCACAGAAATTCTATAAGTAGTTACTATATTATCTCCAGAGGAACTGATGTTCTAAGAAATAAAGTGACAGAGCTAATAAGCATCAGAGCCAAGATTCAAAGTTGAGTCTCCTAGACACAAAACCCCAAACCACACTTCCTTAGAGATCATCTAGTGTCACTTCCAACCCCGTGCCAGGCCTCTTCCCTACTACCCAACTATGTCCCTGACAGATGGTCAGCTAGCTCAGGTTGTTAAACAGCTCTTTCTTCTACTGAGCCCCAGATTTGCCCTCCTGATATTAAAACTCTTCCTAGCTATAGGGAATGACCATCCCCCCACTTTCCAATGAACAATTCCTTTCTAAAAACAAAGATTCCTCTCCCCCCCCCCCCAGGTAAAAGCTATGGCACTGAAGTGGATTGGATGGACTCTACTTCAGAGGAAGTTGCTCTCTGGGAAAAGATGGTGAATTCCCCCAACACTTGGATAGAAGCAACCCTACCTCTCAGAATGCTGTTGATCGCCAAGATTTCAAAATGAACTCAAAATCGACTGGCTCCTCCACCAAAAACTAGTAAATAGGTGGAATGTGATCTTGAAAATCTGACTGGGTAGACAGAGATTCTCACCTGCTCCCTATTTCCACTAACAGATGCCACACAGCATGTTAAAGTCAACCTGCATGTGTTTCTTTGGTTACAAGGCCCAAGAGATTTAAATAAGAATAACATGTCTAACTTATTTGTAATCTCAGCGTTAAAGAAGATATTTGAGAAAGCTAGCAAAATCAAATGGTACTACTATTTCAGAGAAAATGCTGTCAAAAAATATTAAATATGGGGTGGTGTTAACAAGCAAAACTTTCTATTTTGCCGTTGTGTTTCACACTACAACTTTGTGCGACAGGAGGACCTGCTTCTCAGTGGTTGAAAACCCTTGCAGGAACTGAAAATAAATAGTTTTTGGAAAAGAGGGAGAAAAGTACTCCTATAAGGAATGGGGGGGTGGGGGGAGTGTATCAATGATGATAAAGAATTTGACCATAAGAAAATGATTTACTCTATAATCTCTATTATGGTATGAAATTCCATGTTAGGGCATTGAGACTGAATTTACTGCATGTATTTCTTTCTGCCTTTGAAACTGCTTTCCTTCCCCCGCCCTCCCCCACCCCGCCCTAGTATAAGTCTCAGATGTGCTTTGGTGCCACCTACTGGCTCATAGGTGGAATTCAGTTTTTGGCGTAATTTTCTCCTAACCTCTCAAGCCTGTATTTTGTAATAGACAATGTGAAAAAAAAACAAAAACAAAACAAAACAAACAAAAAAACCCCCCAAAACCTTGCATATATAAGATTCTGGTTTTCTTATAACTCTGATATATGAAATTAGCATGAGAGTGGTCACAGGCATGTTTTGCAACAAAGTTTTAATTAGAATGTAAATTGTTAAACTTTGCTTCTATGTATAATTTTCATAAAGTATTTTGTAAAAACCCTTAGAATAAATTATGATATGATTTAATTGTGTTGGCGAGTTAAATAGACTTCTTATTTTAAATTAAATACTTCATGTTAGAAATCCTAAAATCCTAAAATCTTAAATTCCCAGGAAGGCTAAAGAATTAGTAAGCTAATATTTCTCGAGTCTTTACTGTAACTCTGGACATCATTTCTTCTGAGACGCTTTGATTATGTTATTGAAAGTGGAATTTTTTCTTTTAAAAAAGTAGTTGAAAAGCATTGAAGGTAAGTTAATATTTATTTTTGAAAAGTTTTCCACAGAGACATTTTTGGGGTCATTTTAATATATAAAGCATGACTCCTCCTTAGGACCCAACTTGCTTGCCTTTCTCAAAACAAGCACTGATTTTAATGTAGGTTAGGGGGAGCCTGGGGGGTCAGGAGTGTGAAACCTTAGCACAGGGGTCTAGCAAACATCAGTGAAAATGACTAGCATGCTTGCCTCCTCTAAACAGATATTAGAACTTTCTATCCACTTGCAACGTGAGAGGCTTCTGCCCAGTAAGAGCAGCTAGCCTAGAACCCCCTTCCCCTGGCCTCTCCTGGCCCTGTTCTGACCACAGGGAGGGGCAAGAGCTGAGTAGAGGCACATCTCCCAGGTCAGCCAGGAGTAGTAGCAGAAGCACAGATCTTGTTCCACTCCTGCCGCTTCATGGGACCAGCTTCTTCCTCAGTCCTTCTTTCAGTTACCTGCTCAGGCGCCTCCCAGCAGCCAGCCAGATCTGAACGATGCGGTGGGTTCTAGTGTCTCCCCGTCTAGGACTGGGACTGCCTGCCTCCTCCTATTCTCAGATCCCTGACCTTCAAAACAGTAGAGTGGTCAATAGAACCACCTTTGGCATTCAAATGATCTGGGTTTGAATTCTGGCTGTACCATTTTTGGGGCGACATGAGATAACTTGTTTAACCTCTCTGTGCCTTAGTTTCTTCCCTGTAAACCATAAAATGTAGATAGTAATCTATCTTTCAAGAAATATTGTTAGAATTAAATGAGAGAAGATGTACAAGTGCTTAGTACTGTATGGGGTATATAGAAGAACTCTGTAGATAGTAGGTTCATAAAAAGAGACATTAAAAGACTTAAAGGCAAGTGGGGGGGACTCAATGGTCACCACTAGGGAGAGCATTGGCCCAGTTTTAGGCTTTGGACTTCTGGGGAGGAAATATACTGGACACTTTCAGGATCAAACGTAGGTGGGAAAAAATGGTAGAACAAGAGGAAAACCATGACAAAGAGGACCCCAAAGTCATTGTTACTAAGTGGAAGCTCTACTAGAAAAGAGATGGTATCTAATTTATTAATGTATACTTAGCATCTAGCACCACACTATACCTACTAATTGTTGAGTAAATCAGTGAATCAATATCGATAAGGGTCTTGTGAGATTCTTAGACTTGACAAGTAATCTATGGACTTAGTTATTCAAAAATAATTTTAACATAGAAATGTAAACTATTTTTAATGTGGAAAATCTATTTAACCAACAAATAGCACCAAGCATCCACTCTGTGCAAGGGGCATAGAAAGGTGGAGAGAGGAGGAGGAAAGCTTCGGTAAGCCCATCCCTCAAGAAACAACTGCTATTAACACTTTGAGTATTTTTCTGTCGTCCTTTTCTTTTCTTAGGAAATACATTCTGTGAATTCACTTTACTACATCAGACAAGCATATGTGGTCATCAGCAAATATGTTCAATATACGTGTGACCCTTTTATTTATATGAAGAGGACTGTTCTAATTTTCTAGTCACTTGTCTCAACTTTGTAAGTTCCATTTCAGTGTATGAGCTTGAAATGTAAGGAAAAGAAGAAAAAAGGGGGAGAAATACAAATAAGTTTAATTCACTTGTTTTAATGTTTATTTTTGAGACAGAGAGAGAGCCCAAGTGTGGAAGGGTCAGGGAGAGGGAGACAGAGGATCTGAAGCAGCTCTGCTCTGACAGCAGTGAGTCTGATGTGGCACTCGAACTCATAAGCTGTGAGATCATGACCTGAGCTGAAGTCAGATACTCAACTGACTGAGCCATCCAGGGACTCCTAATTCATATTTTTTAAGTCTTTAGAATCCACTTACATAAAACCTCAATACCCTGTAATTTAAGTAGTTATTAAAATTTCACTTCAGGACATTTCCCCAGTCTTCCAAAATTGCTTTCCCTTTACAGACATGAGACTCTGATCTTTGAGACCAAAGAAAAATCAGAAACTCTTCTTTCTCATCTATTTTGCTTCTGGTGAAATCTGAAGCATTTGAAAATCCATCCAACATCTGTAATGACACTCAGGCTTTTTCCTTAACATCATGACTTGAGAGATGAAGTCCAAACATCAGAAACAGTGGTCTTAGCAATAGTCACCAGGATCATTCTGAATTTTAAGATTTTTATCTTTCTTTTTTCAGTTATATTTCTAGCATAAAAATGTCCATGCTATTAAATTACTTACAACCATGATAATGTTTAATAGCTGCCCAAGATTCTAAGAAAATATAATTTCGTAACATTTTTTCTTTTTTGGACACTGAGATTTCCCACTTTTAGTTTTAATAAACCACACTGCAGTGCAATGAAAACCTTTAAACAAAACTTTTTCTTTTGGATTATTTCCTAAGCAAAACTCTCCCCCAGAAAGGGCGATTGTTAGTTTAAAAAGCATAAAAAATGTTCTTAGACCTCAACATGTGTTGTCAACTGATTTTCACCGATAATACTAGAGCACCTATTTCACTATACCCTCACCAGTCCTGGGTTGTCTTAAAATAGGGGGAAAATTGTGACTAAATTGATGGATGATAGGATAACTCATTTTAACTTATATTTATTGGATCACTGATGGGGTTCAATCCTTGCCCATTTCCTTCCCCTCATCTGTGAATTTAATTGTTTATTTCTCTTTTTAGATGTTAATGCTTTATTGATTTGTTCAGTCTCCCTATAAAAACATAAATTTATCTGGACACCTGGGTGGCTCAGTCGATTAAGTGTCCAACTTCGGCTCAGTCATGATCTCACGGTTCATGGGTTTGAGCCCCGCATCAGGCTCTGTGCCGACAGCTAGCTCAGAGCCTGGAGCCTGTCTTCAGATTTTGTATCTCCGTCTCTCTCTGATCCTCCTCTGCTCACAGTCTCTATCTCTCTCTCAAAAATAAAATAAAAAAATTTTAAATATATATATAAATTTATCATCAGTCATTTTTATGGTGGATATTTTTCCCAGATTTTGAAATTTGCCTTCAATATCCACTCACCACACATTTATCTAAGCCTCCCCAACATTCCAGGCACTTGTCAAGTATCAAGGATGGAACAGACAACAGCCCCTGCCCTTAATGATCTCAGGGTTTAATAGGGGAAGGCATGAGTGCAATAAGGCATTCACAGTTTGCAGTAGAAGTGGGAACAGTCTACAGTGAGTGCACTAAAAGAGGTGAACAGTTGATTCTACATGTTGGGGCCAGGAAAGGCTTCACAGAGGAGATGATTCCTGACTATTGATGCTGAGTAAGTGAGCAGAGTAACAAAGGACAAGGTGGGAAAAGGCACTTCAGGCAAAGAGAACACGTACAAACAAGGACAGAGAGCTGGTTGGTTAGGGGAACTTCAGTAATTGGGTTGGACTAGGGAGTAAAATGTCAAGCAGGTCCTGAGGAACAAGGGGCTGGAGACACCTCAGAGCTCACAAGTTAAAAAATTAAAAGTAACTTGAAATGTTTAGCAAAATCAAATTAGGCTTTTCCTTACTCCTCTTTTACATAATATATAAACTAAGACAGTCCTTTCTGAACCAGAGATTTTATGCTTACCTGTATTTCCTTTGTTTCCTTTAAAAAAAATTTTTTTAATGTTTGTTTATTTTTGAGAAAGAAAGGGAGACAGAGTGTGAGCAGGGGAGGGGCAGACAGAGAGGGAGATACAGAATATGAAGTGGGCTCCAGGCTCTGAGATGTCAGCACAGAGCCCGACTCGGGGCTCGGACTCACAGACCTAGAGATCATGACCTGAGCTGAAGTTGGTCGCTGAACTGACTGAGACACCCAGGCGTCCCCCCACCCTTTTCCATTTTTAACACTTTGATTTTATTTTACTTGTTACATTTAACTGTTTAGTTAATCTGGAATTGACTTTGGTGTATGATAGCCTTATTTGGATCTCTTTTCAGTTTTAATGTTCATCATATCTATACTGTTCACTGAGCTTCTTTCTACAACCTTATTTTGCCAATGAGTAGAAACAGGGAATGCTAAGAGCACCTGGGTGGCTCAGTCGGTTAAGCATCCGACTTCGGCTCAGGTCAGGATCTCATGGTTCGTGGGTTTGAGACCCGCATCGAGTTTGGTGCTGACAGCTCAGAGCCTGGAGCCTACTTCAGATTCTGTGTCTCCCTCTCTCTCTCTGCCCCTCCCCCACTTGCACTGTCTCTCTCTCTCTCAAAAATAAACAAACATAAAAAATTTTTTAAAAGAAAGAAACAGGGAATGCTGAATATCTAATAAGATGTATTCCCAGCAGGGGACAATGGGAAGGGAAACTAAAGAAATTTCGCTGGGCCTTGCTCTTGTACTGAGCTGTGTTAAACCCTACAGGTTCACCTCACAGCCACTCAGGATTCTGGCTCCCAGAGCATCACTGCTACTTTGTATTTATAGGTGACACATGAGGAGCAAAGTGTTTCCACGGAGAGTAATTTATTCTCATGACAATTGAAGGCGGGAGATGGAGGAGAAAAATGTCACCGGCAGCTTGATTTATTTCCTCCTCTCAGAAATTAGGTGGAGTCAGGTTTGTTTGTTTTTCCCTGATGCGGGCTGACAACCCAGTGGGGTTGGCATCTCTTCTCTGTACAGTACAGACCAGATGCTGGGCTGGGAGCTGAGAGCTGTGATTTGTTAGAAAGGCAAGCATAGATTGGTTCTGGAGTCCCTCAGATCTCCCTGTTACTTCACAGCATTCTGAAGACCTGTCCACCAATCACGGGGCTGCTTACTGGAAAAAGCAACTGCTGGAGAGCGCTGGGAGTCCCTAGCAACACTCTGAGGCTTTTGAATCTGAGGAGGAAAGACTGTGTAGTCAGCGGATTGTGGAGGAGACCAGCGCCTATGCCTCAGGAAGAAAAGACTGTCAGGATGGACACTCCACACACTGAAAAACCATTAGATAAGCAGGACAAAAAACCAGAAACGCAGGAAGAGGAGATGGAGTTTAAGGAACTGGATGGTCTGAGGGAGGCCCTGGCAAATCTCCGGGGACTGTCCGAGGAGGAGAGGAGTGAGAAGGCAATGCTTTGCTCCCGCATCCAAGAGCAGTCCCAGCTTATCTGCATCCTGAAGCGGAGGTCAGATGAGGCCCTGGAGCGCTGCCAGATCCTGGAGCTGCTCAACACAGAGCTGGAGGAGAAGAGGAGGCTAGAGGCTGAGAAGCTGAAAGCCAAGAGCAAGCATGCCCAGAAGCTGGAGGAACGTTTTATGACCCTGGCAGCCAACCACGAGCTGATGATCCGCTTCAAGGACGAACACAAGAGTCAGAACATCAAGCTCAGGGAAGAGAATGAGAAGCTGAGGCTGGAGAACAGCAGCCTCTTCAGCCAGGCTCTGAAGGACCAGGACGCCAAAGTGTGCCAGCTCACTGCCCGGAGCGAGGCACTCTCCAAGGAGCTGGAGAGCCTGAAACACAGGTGTGCTCAGGATGCCCTCCAGGCACAAGCCAGAGAGAAGGAGCTGCTGGAGCTGCAGAGCCAGCAGGCCTGCGCCCACACCAAGGAGACAGAGCAGCTGCGGAGCCAGCTGCAGAGCGTCCAGCAGCAGCACCAGCAGGTCATGGAGCAGATGGCGGCGGCGGAGCGGGCGCAGGGCAGCCTGAACCAGGAGCTGCAGGCCAGACTGCAGACAGTCACGCGCGAGAAAGATGAGCTGCTGCAGCTGTCCATGGAAAGGGGCAAGGCGCTTCAGAACAAGCAAGCAGAGATCCGCCAGCTTGAGGAGAAGCTGGAGATGGCAGATGCGGCCAGGAGGCATGCACTAGAGAGGTTTGAACAAGAGGCTGTGGCCGTGGACAGTAACTTGAGAGTGCGAGAACTCCAGCGCAGGGTCGATGGGATCCAGAAGGCCTATGATGAACTCAGGCTGCAGTCTGAAGCCTTCAAAAGGCACAGCCTGAGCCTTTTAAGCAAGGAGAGAGAACTCAATGCCAAGCTCCGCCATCTCTTTCCATAGGAAGCTTCTGTTTCTTCTTTTCTCTAATTTAGAATTTAAATATTTGTGCGTTAGCATTATGTTTACTATACTTTTAAGCACAAAAAGGAGCTCGAAAAAAAGCTGCTTTACTACCATATTGTGGTTGTTAACTATTGCAAGTCTAACACTAATTTTCAGTCTTACCACCTAGAATACAGAAGATTTACCTGATTTCTTTCTGTGCCTTTGAAATCCTCCAAAGTTTGCTATCATTATATCTACCTTCCTCATAAGCTATTCATTCTCAACCTCAGATATTTTCGTATATCCTAAGATTTTAAATCAGCATCTCCTATGAGTTTAAGGGAATCTGAAATGCAATGAGATGTACTATTGTGAAAATAATTTGGCATAGATCCCCCTTGTAGATAATAGGTAGGGTAGGCTTGTAGTCTCCCATGATTGAAATTATAATCTGTAACAGTTAATAGTATAACAATAGCATAGAGAACTTGCAGAAAAAGGTGTCACATTTTGCAACTGGCCAAACAGTTGCTTGCTTCATCTGCTTTACAACAGTATCCTTTTGATTTTATTTTACTTGCAGTAGTTTGGAAAACAAAGACTGAAATCAGCAAGTTCTTTGCCGAAATAGGCAAACTTTATTACAGTCATTCTATATGAGCAATGAGATTCAAATAAATGAAATCAACCAGTTTGTATTTTTCCTGAAAGTTTAGGTCACATTCCATTTTCTTCATTTTTTTCCCTTAATAAAAACAGAAGATAGAGGTGCAAGGTTGCAAATATCAGTGGTTTCATTTAATATTGCATAATATGCTAGTAGACAAAAGACCCCAATTTAGGTAACAATCAGAGCAGACTGGGTATGATACATAAAGCAATGCAAAGTGATTGTTCTGTTTCTATTAGCATATCTCCTTGCAATTAACTTTTTCCTTTAAAAAAAACCATCTAGGGGTGCTTGAGTGGCTCAGTCGGTTGAGTGTCTTACTCTTGATTTTGGCTTAGGTCATGGTCTCACAGTCTTGGGACCAAGCCCTGTATTGGGCTCCATACTAGGTGTGGAGCCTGCTTGGGATTCTCTCTCTCTCCCTTTCCCTCTGCCCTTCCTCCACTCTCTCTCACTCTCTCTGAAAAAAAGAAAGAAAGAAAAAAAAGAAAACAATCAAACATCTAAACAAAAATATATATATATTTAACAGCATGTTTGTAGGAATACCTAAATATATAGATACATAAAAACAAAATAGTTCTTATATATTTATAGAAAATTCTTAAAGAGGTAGTTATAAAAATATTTTATACCTTTTTTTAATGTTTATTTTTGAGAGAGGAAAAGAGACAACGTGTGAGTGGGGAAGGGGCAAAGAGAGAGGGAGACACAGAATCCAATGCAGGCTCCAGGCTCTACACTGACAGCAGAGAGCCTAACGCGGGGCTCACACTCACAAACCGTGAGATCATGACCTGCCGAAGTTGGATGCTTAACCGACTGAGCCACCCAGACACCCCTATTTTATACTTATTTATTTCCCTTAAAAAAATTTTTTTAATGTTTGTTTATTTTTGAGAGAGAGAGCACGAGCAGGGGGAGTCAGAGAGAGAGGGAGAGAGAGAATCACAAGCAGGCTCGCACTGTCATTTCAGAACCCATTGCGGGGCTTGGATCTCACAAACCATGAGATCATGATCTGAGCTATGAACTGAGAATTAGATGCTTAACCAACTGAACCACCCAGGGGCCCCTTGGTATCTTTTTAATAAATAATTTTCCAGTGTTACTTTATCTCAAGCAGTTTTTAAAACCTATTTTTTCACAATCCTTCTAAGATTGTGATATTGAATACATATTCCAAGAAACCACGTTGATGGCCTGAAAGGACTATTTACTCCTTACATATTACCAAGGATCAGAATATAGGAGCTAATTAATCATGGTTGCACTTTGGATGGCTTGCTTTATTTAATCCATAGGGCCTTTCAAGAAAGTAATTATGTTTATTTCTATTTCAAAGAAGACCAACTTGAGATTTACTCAAGGCCACTTGGTCCCTCGGGGAGCTGGGATTTTAATGACAATACCCCATTCAAAGTTTTTTTTGACTGTCCACTGAGGGCCTAGTTCAGGGGTCAGGCCCTAAGAATAAGCAGGAAGAAACATCTTTTCTGCCTTGGCAGAGCTCTCACACAATCTAGTCTAGGCGCGTGAAGCAATTTTACACAAAACAAAGCAATTACATACAGTGTGATGTGTTTTCACAGGGGGTGTTATGAGATCACGGTGGGTAAAACACACATAGAGACAGACAGACACACAGAGCAGCTAACTCTGCCTGGGGTTAAAGGTCAGGAAGGTAGAGAGGATTAATTGGCAAGGAAAACTAACACAAGAGTTGACATGTAAGCTGGTTCTTAAATAATTAGAAGAATTTCATCTGTGGAGATGAAGATTTGAGACAGCATGTTGAAAGCCATGAAGGTTTTTAAAAACTGTACAGGATATTTGGGGACATCATAAATAGCTGGGAAGAGGTTCAGAAAAGCATAAAACTGCAAGTGTAGGTTGTGGACAGAATACTGGGAGCCTAGAAAGCCAGGCAGACCCCTTATGTTAGGGGTTGAAAAAAGAGGAGGGGGCAAGAATACAAATGCAGCCACCGATGAGCCCTCCTCTTCCCAGCCAGGTTTGGGGGTGGTTTGCGAGGGGCCTGGTGCACATGCCAATGCGGGGCTTGGATCTCACAAACCATGAGATCATGACCTGAGAATTAGATGCTTAACCATGAGTCATGACCTGAGAATTAGATTGCATGCGTGACAGCACCCCTTCCTTTCTCCCACCAATGCCACCAATGCCTTTCAGCTAGCCCAAGCTCCACCCACTTGGTTCAGCAAGCCAGGGTGGTGATGTAGTTTATCTAAGTTTTATGCCCAGTGCTTGTGGAGAAAGCAGCTCCTGTGGATCTTGGAAACAAGTTGAGGGCACTTTGGGCAGGAATACTGGTACCCCCATACTGAAGGGTGGTCTAGCAGAGGACTTAGCCCAAGGAACTCCTCTTGAGATAGGGAAGGGTGCCTCTGGAAGAGTGCAGGGGTGGGTAAGGTAGGGGTACAGGGGTGTGTGTCCCCTAAAACATGGGCACAAAGAAAGGGCCTCAGGTACCCTGGTCTGAGGACAGTACTGTTCGAAGTCATGCTAAGGCATTTGTTTTAGGTTCTAAAATGTGAAATTGACACTTTGTGAGTCATAAATTACTAGATATTGACTGGTGATGTTCACTCTAATACCCTTTTGAAAGATAATAAAAGGATAGTGGGTAATGAGAAGAGAAGGTCGAAGATGGATGCCTTAAAAAACTGATGGAAGAGCCTGCTGTGAAGAACAAAGGTAAAAGAAATGTAGAAAAAATTAAAATTCCTTACAACCTTGCAGCCTATTGACAAGTACTTGGGACAGACAGAGTGAGCTTCTCGAGGAATTGAACTACCTCAATCTTAATACTTTGCAAAGAGCAAAAGGCAACCTTAGTTTGATATTATAGCCTGACCTCCAGAATTCTGTATATTTTCTGTATAAAAATCCCTTTGGAAACTTCTTTTAGCTCTACAACACCACCACCCCTCCCCCCAAGATATATGTTAGCAATCCTCCAAACATATGCCTCATTGATACACATCTGAAGGATCTCATGACTAAGATTTAACTAGCAGTGGTAAATGACCTTATCCTAACTGCAGCTAGCCCCCTAAGGTCCTGGAAACCTTGCTGGCAAATTCCTTAGAAACTTAAGCTATCCTAACCCTCTCCCAACTCAAGAATATATAATCAGTCACTCCTCATAATCTCAGTGAAGCTCTTTCTGTCCACAGGTCCTGTCCGTGTGCTTTACTAAACCACTATTTTTGCACCAAAGACGTCTCAAGAATTCTTTCTTGACTGTTCACTCCCGAACCCCAACATTTCACATCAATACAGAGCCCACAATACAGAATAGGAGAAAGGAATGTGAACCTATCATGTACCAAGTGCTTTTCATTTCAGCCACATACCAACTCTTTAAGGAAGATTCATTCACTATTTTACAGATGAAAAAAGTGAGACTCAGGCAGGGTGACTTGATCAACTCCCTAGTTTGGGGGGGATGGCACATGAAAGAGATTTGAACATGAGCTCCCTCTGGCAGGGCCAGCTTCATAGTGTGTCACTTGCACGGAGGCCCCGCACTTGGTTTAATGCTCTGCTGTTCCTGCCTTGAGATTCTTAATCATTGTGTGACAAGGGGCTCCTCATTCTCTTTTTGTGCTGGGCTTTTCAAATTATGTAGCTGGGCTTGTTTTCTGGCTCAAAACCCCATGTTTTCTCCTACTACACAAACTGCCTTCTAACCAGCCACAGAAAAGCATTGTTTTTTCCCCTCTGTGTGGAGCACCACTTTGCATTCCACTCTCTCAGTGCTTATCTTGTATTTAATCTGTGACCCACAGCCAGATCCGGGGATGAGCAACCAGTTTAGTTACTGTGGTATGCTGATCTAGAAAATGATGCTTATCACTGGAACAAATTAAAAAAAGTGTGAAGTGGCCACCTCCAAACTATGCCCGTGAGGGGAAATTTTAAAAAACAAAATAGCACAACTCCTTTCCAAGGCAGACCTACATCTCTAGTAAAATTTTTGAAACATCCACAAGCAATAACCCTAAAATGAAAGTCAGCAGGACAGATATTCTAAAACCAAATAATGTATGAGTGATGCCCTGTAAATAGTGTGATTTTTTTGTTTTGAAATCCCCTCAGTGTGCTTCTAAGGAACTTGTCTAGTTAAACCAAACAAACAAACACCAAAGAAAGCTATAAAAAGAGACAGATCTACAGAGAAAGTGAACTGCCTGGGCTGATATTTTCACAAATACGGACTCTGCTTCAATTAGTGAAAATTAATTCAGGTTAATTTGTTTCTTCCCAACTCCATTATATTGAAATTAAACAGTTATTTAAAGAACAGTGTTTGAAGGAGTACCTTCCCGGGTGTTTGCTGTTCTATCCAGCCCTTGCTGACCCAAATACCTTTGGGTGAAGGGCAATGGGTGCTGGATACGCCATCAACAATGCCTGCTGTACCACAGCTACTTGGACTGACAGAGTCTTATCGGCAGGGAGTATTTTTATCTTGACCTCCTAAAAAAAAAGTTGGAATTTGGGGGAAGTGGCCCAGAATCAGCTTTTCTAA